GTTATCATGAATGTCTTCCTTAGGTTGTGATACCTTCTTTGCTTTTGATGARCTTGACCATTATGAAGAGTACTGGTTAAATATTTTATCAAATACTGTTCTGTTGTGATTGTCTGATGTTTTTTGCATTATTGGGATGTACCTCCACGGGAAGAAAGCCCATGGAGATAAGTTTTCATATTCATCACATTTTATCAAAGGGTACATGCTCTTAATGGGACTTAAAACTGTTGGTGTAACCCTTAATCATCTTGGCATTGTACTTGTTGAAACAAAATCATTAAGCACAGTTCATCTAAGGAGCAGGAAGCTCTGTTTTATGTCCTTGAAAGTATAATATCTATACCAATTATTTAAAAATATTTTTCATGAGAGAGTTGTCTCTTCTTTCCCATTTATTAATAAATTGTTAATTAATTGTTAAAATGATTAATAAATTAGTATTTATTTATGTCAGTATGGACTCATAGATATTTATTTTGTGCTTTGGGGTTATAAACCAAAGCAATTTTTTATTAAGTTGCTCCACATTTGGTCATTAAAAACTTTTAAAGTTGACCCCTGTGTCCCTTTGACATAATTCCATCACTTATTTTTGTTGTTATTTTGAGAACTTCTTTACTTTCTGGCATCCCAAATTGATCCACGTTCATCTTCTGTATTTTCTGTCTCAGTTTTAGAATCTATTATTACMAGGAACTTTGGCTCTTTTCATTGGAGAGTGGTATTCATAAAGATCTGTGTCCAAGGTTGGCTCATTGCTATTGGGATGTCTTTGCTTTTAGACCCTCTCATTTGATGACAGATCAAAGAAATATACATATAAACACACATGCACACACATCTGTAAATATTCGTATGTATGATTTGTACCTGGGTAARACTGAACATGAGTCCTTTAGAATGKCTCCMACTGTAATCTATTACTGCATCCTCTCTCCATTTCAAGATCATAATTTTATCATATCTGCAAAATATTTATGTAATATAAAGTAATATGCCTATGCATGTTTTGGGGATTAAGGTGTGGACATATTTGTGGGGGGTATTATTTAACTTACAATAGGTACATAATGGTATCTTATTATAGCTTGGATTTATATTTTCATTGTTCTGTTCACTAAATGATAATATCCCACTTATTATGAGTTTGCCATCCTTATTCTTCATCAATGAAGTATCTGATAAAATCTTTTGCTTATTTTTAAAATTACATTGCTTGGTATACTATAKAGCTATAGTAACAAAAACAGCATGGTATTGGCACCAAAACAGACTTGAAGACCAGTGGAACAGAAGACACAGAGACAAACCCACATAAATACAGTTATCTTGTATTAGACAAAGGCACCATAAACATAAATTGAATAAAAGACAGCCTCTTCAACAAATGGTGCTAGGAAATCCAGAAATCCATCTGTATGAATGAAGTTGAATCTCTATCTCTCACCTTGCACAAAACTCAACTCAAAGTGGTTCAAGGACCTAAGCATTAGTCCAGAGACCCTGTGCTTATTAGAATAAAATGTAGGCCCAACTTTCCATCATGTTGGCTTAGGAACTGACTTCCTCAATAAGACTCCTAAAGTACAAGAAGTGAAATCAAGGGCTGGGGTTGTATTCAGTGGTAGAGAGCTCACCTAGCACACTCGAGGCACTGGGTTTGATCCTCAGCACCACATAAAAATAAAACAAAGATATTGTGGCCATCTACAACTAAAAAATTTTTTTAAAAAAGAAGTAAAAAAATCAAGAATCAATAAATGGGATGGTATCAAAGTAAAAAGCTTCCTCACAGCAAAGGAAATAATCAACAACATGAAGAGAGAGCCTACAGAATGAGAGAAAATATTTGCTACCTGATCTCAGATAGATCATTAATCTTCAGGATATATAAAGAACTCAAAAACTTAACACCAAAAAAA